AAACAAAAAATAAAAAGTGCTCAAAAACGCCAAAAAAGTATTTAGGTGAAACTACAACAATGATAGGAGCCATGACAGCCATTACAGGCTGCCGTTGTAACTGGCGCCATTCCATTCTAAGCCCATAGCCACTCAACAATTGAGCCCAGATAGCCTTATGTTGTTGTTTGACATGACTTCAGACTGTGAGATGCATAAATAAAGTTCTATCCTAAGGCATTTATTATTTTCTGAGTCTGGTAAAGTGGGCAAAATGGTAACAACCCCAACTCACACTTTATAAACCTCTGTGTTAACGAATACACTAATTGCTTAAAATGAGCACTGGACCCTGAAACATCTATGTTGCTGTAAAATCTGCTGGTAAAGGAGATTATGATTTTTGTGTGTGTGTCCAGGCTCTGATGTAAACAGTATGGACTCAGTGGACAGTGGCTGCACTATGGGTGCTGGAGAAAGCCAGAGCAACCACGCTGCCTCCTTGAGCTCTGAGCTCATCATCTGGGAAATTGAGGTGCCAAAGGTGAGTACCGACACACATATCCAACCATACATAATTATCAGTGTGATATGTCAACGTCCTTCACAATGTACACCGCCTCACAGGAGAAGTCCTTTCAGTGTGAATTGGAGCCAAGCAGATTCTTCTTCACCAGTGGCAGTGCAATGTTTTAATGTCACAAATGAAAAGGCTTTTACACCCTTGGTATGAAGAGGAATTTGATGTGAAAGGGAAATAAGCGCCCAATTGTGCCCAATTGCAGTTTCAATCTAAAATATCAATTTTGGTATCCGTCTTTAATTTCAGGGTTCTGACTTTGGCAAGTTGTGGGGATAGCACACCACTTGGGACAACCTCTTGTACTTAGGAAAGGTTTAATGAGCAACTGTTTATTTTGGAGCAATGGCTGTAAAGTCTGGGACAGTTGAAAGTAGGATTCAGGACCGTTGCGGGACACTTGAGGGGAAAAAAAAAATTTTGAGCCGAGGATGATTTTTATGCTGTTAAATAACAATACTAAGAAGCTTCTTTTGGATTGCATCCATTTGTTTAAGAGAAAGACAGACAGCAGTAGCGACAAAGCCGGCGGTTTCACAGCGGCTATTTTAAGTGAGAGCAAACACACCCACCATTCATAATGCTCACACAGTCTACCAGTTAATCATTTACAGTATAGGGTAGCGAGCAGTGCCAAGTCCACGGGCTGAGGGCAAAGACTGCCACCTTGACTTAAGTTCTGGGCTGGGGGCAAAACATAAGTGAAATATTTAAGAAAATATTATAATATTTATATGTTAAGATGGGTAGTCCAAAGAGACAGTGTAAAAGATTTGTAGTGAATCTATGATGTCAATTTGTCCAGTTGTGGCTAGGCTCTTGGGGTTTGGTCTTTTAAACACTGTTTTGTACAAATGAACTGTCCTTTTGACATGTTACAGTCTCTTCTTTTAACAGCATCTTGTAGGGCGGTTAATAGGGAAACAAGGGAGATATGTGAGTTTCCTGAAGCAGAATTCTGGCGCGAAGATCTACATCTCCACTCTGCCTTACACACAGGAGTTCCAGATCTGTCACGTAGAGGGTAAGTCAGGGGAACCAGGTCCCCACAAGTCTTTTGAAGGGGTTGGGGGAAGGACATTGATTTATGTAGAAACCCAGATTCTTACTAGATAAAAGAAATCTGACTATTTAAACGAAAAACTATTTTCGACTATATGAGCGTAATTTTAGTCCTAAAACTAGACTTGTGTTTGATCCCTCTCCAGGTACACAGCAGCAGGTTGACAAAGCCCTGTCCTTGATTGGGAAGAAGTTTAAGGATCTGGACTTGACCAACCTTTATGCACCTCCGCCACCTCCGCTCACATTGCCATCACTTCCCATGACCTCCTGGGTAAGGATGGGGTCTCTGGCAACATTCTGTAGCAGCTAAAAATCAACTCTCAAAATAAAGCGTGGCACAGGGCAGCCAGACTAGCACGACTAATAATATCTTGAAAATGCCTTAATTTTCATGCTTTCTAGCATATTTCAACCCCAATTTTTTATTTATTTTTTTTACAATTCGGTGCTAGTTGCATTATCTGACTCGTAAATAAATTAATAATCAATCATCCTATTTGCATTTTCTTCTTCAAGACTGCTCAT